GCCGCCATGGCGAGCAGGAAGGAGGACGAGGAGGCCATTGGTGACCTAACAACTTAGTAGGAGTAACTTACCTTATTTCCTGATCGATCGAGAGGGCGGGAGGGAGGGATATGTGTGGTGATTGTTGTTGCTGGTTGCAGCAGCTGGCTGAGTATTTATGGGCGGCCTTGGCAACAAAATTAGGCATGGACGTACGACATGCCAGCAAGATCTCTATCCGGCTTGTTTGTTGACGAACACTTGTTCAATTGCCACAAATAGATCTGTGCTAAGTAGTACAGGTTGTCTTGCTTTCACGCAAAAGACGCGCAGGACATGCAGGCCTCTCATAAAGCATGGGGAGCTGACGACCCCACCCCCGCATGCACCGTCTGTCAACGTGCTACCGCTGTAGCGTAGTGCCTGAGCACTGCTTTGCGCCCTCGCCGGCGCGGCCCCGCCTTGGCTTCTGGGTGGCGGCAGTGGTAATGAGAGAGATTGGGAAATTTTGTAAGGGAAGGGCCGTTTGGGTTTGAAATGCATTTTGTTCCCACCGTCGATCAAACGGCCAAGATCAAGGGGTCATTCTGTTCGCACTGAGTGGGCTGTGGACTGAATACGTGGAATGGGCTAATTTAAAGTTGTTTTGTCCATTTTTATTTTCTTTTTCCTTTTTATTAATTTAGAAAATAACAACAAATTGAACTACACGTCGTATCCAACAATGTCCAAAAAATGGAAAAAAACATATGTAAGAAGACATGTTCTATTTGAGCTTGCATCCTGAAAATCTCTAGAAAATTAAGTGTTTTACTAAACACTACTCAAGATACTATTTTGGTGACTCCGACAAAAAAATCAATAATATCATAAAGTGGTAAAAAAACTAAGAATTGATATGGGGGCACAATTTAAGTACATAAGCTTGCCATAAAATTTTGAAAACATTTTAACAAAGTGGTACTATACATTGTTCACAAATGCATATATCACTCACATAGTTTCATATGACTATGTGAGAGACATATAAAATTTGTGAACAGTGTTACTATCATATTGCCGGATGAAAAAATGGCAAAAATAAAAGTTGTAGATCTTTATGTTCATGACTTTTTCAGCTGAAATCGTTTACTACCTCAAAATTTTGTTTGAAGTTGCCATTTTTTTTAAATCCAAATCTTGAATCAATAAATAAAGTCACATAAAAATATGAATAAAATATTAGCCGTAAGAACATAATAAACTGATAGAGCTTGATTTTAGAAACATTTAGGAAAAAGAATCACCACATCTGGAGTTACCATGAGGAAGAAAGACTCGTTAGAAAATTTTGCTGCAGATTAAAAGAAGAAAACTTATGTTTATGTTCTTGAATTTCTAGTATTTAAAGCAATTATTTTTGTACTGAAAACCAGCAACCCATATTTTGTGGCGGTGGAATTTGACTCTCATGAAAATCATCACTCTCACGAAAATAAGTTTTCGTGGGGTTATTTAAATACTCTCACAAAAATAGTCGATTTTAATGACGGTGTGTGGAGCACTCATGAAAATACGTTTTTGTGGCGGGATTTTCATCACTCTCATGAAAATATATTTTCATAAGAGCGTTTTTCACTATCAGGAAAACATATCTCTGACAAAATATCCATTTTCTAGTAGCGTTGTGATGCTGCCAATGTTGCAGCTGCTGCTACATCGATGATGGTCACCCGACGGCCCAGACTTTTTGAGTTCGTCATCAACGTGATGCTGCGCGCGCTCATCGGCACGTCCCCACACGGCAGCGACTCTGGCCGGTGGCAGGAGATCGTCGAAGAGAGCGTCCGGCTCAACGCAGTGCCAACCATCGGCGACCTGTACCCGCACTGCGGTGGGTCAACATGCTACTGGGCATGGATGCGTCGCTTGCGAGGCTGCAGGCGAGGCACGACGTGTTGCTCGTCGGCCTGATAGATGATCACCGTACCGTCGAAAGCGCGACGCTGGTGGTGGTGTCCGGGATACCGATACGGGGATTAAAGTTGCCCTTGACGAGCTCCTGTCTCTACAAGAAACAGATCCCAGCTATTACACCGACACTGTCATCAAAGGCATCGCCATGGTCAGTAGTCTCTTGTCTTCAGTTAACTAACCATCTTATAGAACCGACTCGCTTCACACCTTTTTTTTTGGTTTTTACTTTTTTGTTGTTGATATTTTTGATAGTCGAATACTCACGTCACCAAAAGAAAACTTTTGGGATTTAAAAATTGTCCAACCAAATTTGAAGTTTCAGCTCTTGAACAACTATGTGTTCCAACTTGCAACTATACAAACACTGATATGCTTTTGATAATCAAGAATAGAAACATTAACAAAGGACAAAGCTAATACGACGCGTAAAAAAAGTATGGTGGGAATATTTCATTTCCAACATATACAATCCTGAGTTTTTTATTTTCTGTTACTTATTTCTTACTTTCCTTACATATTTTATAAACCTAGAAAAAAACTATACCAAAAACATTCCTTCCTTATCTTATCTTATCTTATAAATTAAAAATATAGATGAATATATATTTCACATATTGTAGTTGATTGTAACCGTCCGATCAAAATAAATGAACGGCTCACAGTCATTTGTGGGTACCGCAGTAAAGCCCATTTTTCTTATATTTTATTCCTCTCCACTTTTTTTCTGTTTCTTGACATTTACAGAAATATGGTAATTTGTGGAAATGAGAGAGAGCTTTGCTACGGTGCTTTCCTACCGTGAAAAATTAATTACAAAAATTAAATTATTTGTTTTAAGGGTAGTTTAGTCATTTTCCTCCACTTTATAATCTATCCCAATCCACGAACCGGAGACGGTAGTGCCTGCGACTCGGACCTCATTCTCCCTGCGCCGCCGCGTCGAAGTCGCCAGCAAGTTTGAATTCGTAACACACTACTACAGGATTGATTTTGCGTGACACCTCCTTAAACTTAACCGAGGCAGGCACCAGTCCGGCCCGTCATGATTAATGCCATGATTTATGGAGGTGGGCACTTTTTTATCTACCGAAGCAGGAAAAAGTGCCCGCCATGGTTAATCGATTTACCGTGACGGACATGTTAACACGGCCGTCACGGTTAATAACCTAGTAACCGTGGTGAGCATCTTATAAGGCCCGCCTCAGTTAAGGCCGAGGCCCAACAGGCCTAGGTGAGGCCCGAGAGTCAGCTTAGGGTTAGTTGACTCATTCACTTCCTCCGTCGCTCTCACCTCCTCCCTCCACTCTCTCTGTTTCTCCCTCCCCGCTTTTCTCGTAGCAATCGGCAGAGGCCGTTAGGGCAGTGGCGCCATTGACGCGGAGGACCCAGAGCAGCAGCGGCGTGGGCCCCCTCGTTGGATGGTGCGTGCGACCAAGCCAGCGCGCGCCTCTACCAAGCGGGTTCTTGCCTCCGCCCGTGACACCAGCACGCACGCGAGGAGCTCCTTCGCGGCGGCGCGGGGAGCGCAAACAGCAGGAGCAACGCCGGTACGCGCTGCGGAGGCGGCTATCCTCCCCTTGACACTCCAATGGCGCTGCCATGCCAAAAATTGAGGCCAACAGCTACCCATGGCCAAGGTAACGTAATACCAAATCCATCTAAGGGTTCGTTCATGAGGATTTGGGGAAAATTTTGTGGAAAACTTCATCTAGGGTTTCGTGATATTGATGATTTTAACGCGATTTGAACTGATTCGCTCATCCCCTCCTTCTAATTGCCTGGATCTGGCGGTGGCGCGGCTGGGGAGGCCGGATCCGCCGCGAGCTCCTCCTCGAGGCGGGCACCCGGGCAGCGCATGGGTCGTGCGGCCAGGTGGCGGTGGCTGCGTCATGGTGAGATAGGGTTTGGGGCAATCGGGCTACGAACGGGCTCACTGGCGGGCTCGCCGGCGGGCTCGTGGACTTTTTTTGTTTTTCGAAAAAGATTAATCGTGACGGGCATCCTAACATGCCCGCCTCGGTTAATCCATTAACCGTGACAGGCAGATCGACCGCCGCGGTTATGCCACGATTAACCATGACCTTTCGTCCGTGGCGAGCGCCTTTGCCCGTCACGGTTAATAATTCTGTGGTAGTGACATCGGTGTTCAAGCCACGAGATAGCGCGTAGGATGCAGCACGACGCTGCATAGCCATCCAAATAAGGACGACGACCCGTGTTGCTCTGAGCAGAGGATCGATAGTGGTGGAGCATTGCTCGGCGATGGCTTTGTGGCAGTGCTGCAGTGCGGAAAAGAGAGTGGCGAGAGGCTGTGCGGTGCTGGTTTGTGGAGCATGCCCATTGAGGGCGCGCACCGGTGAGCACCAACGCCCACTAGGAGCTGCGGGACTGCGAGAGAGACCCGTGCCCACTACGAGCTCGTGTGAGGCGAGAAGTAGTTCCTTTTCCTTGATTCGGAGACGTCAAAATACTATTATACCCTCTAATTTTTTAAGAAATCAGTTCCAGGTCTGCACTTTTTTCTGTGTCCCGTCATCACAACTTAAGTTCCTCTTATGTGGTTCTTCCTATTTTTAAACCATCTGATCTAATGAAACAGATGGCTCCCATTATTTCCATGCATGCACCGTAAAATTTCACTATTTCTTCCCAGAGTTGCATTTGCGCTTTGTATTTTCCTTAAAGGCAAGTATATTAGTGTTGTCTTATATAGGTGGTATCATGGAGTGCCACGTAATCTTTTACACAACTTAATGGACAACATTTTAATGGTTCCCCGAGTATAACTAAGAATACCTTAATTTTTGTTGCATATGACAAAAGAAATACAATTATTAAGAGGACACACACAGCCACTACCCCAGAGCACTCAATCAACTACAGGAACATCACTTTCCCATGTAAGGCGACGAACCAGAAAATTAGAGGGAAGCTAGTCACCTTGCGTACAGAATCCACTTTTTATTTAGAGAGAAGATTGCTAACAATAGATGGATGAGCAGATTTTATTTATTTTACACCAGACATGCTAGATGCATTAATTGTTGGTATTACACCATTCAAATCTATGGTGGGCAGCAGCACATATATTTGTCCTGAGCATTTGCAGGTATTACGCAGTATGCCCTATAGGTTCTAATTCCGTTATACTGGCAAACAAATACGCAGCTCCGGCCATCCACACAGCGGTGAGTCGGAGGCTCGAAGCAAGGTGGCTTGGACCATTTCCCCTGCGGCTGCAGCTGCATACTCCAAGGGAACATGCCTGCACAAGAAATAAGACAACGCAATCCAATGTTAGCACTAAAACAAGACTCGTCGGTAAAATAGTAAATGATCATATGAAAATGTCTAAAAATACAAAGATAAGGGTGCTTACAGCAGATCACAAGAACCACGAACGAAGTAGCCTTCAAGTAGTGCACCATCCTTGCTATGCTGTGCGCTGTCGTTTATTTAGTTTTTGTGCGAGAGAAGAGGCGAGGATCCGCTATATTGCTTGTTGTCCAATGTATTTCAGCGTTTGTAGGTGCTTTTATAGAAGAACCCCTTGTTTGGAATTAATTTATTGATATCTTGGGTCAAGGATATCTCTTAATTATTAGCTTAGATCAAAATAATTAATATGTCAGAAAATCTTTTCCAGTGGTCTTAATACTTACATACCTATATCTCTAATAAATCAATATTGGACCTCTTCACTGTGTGTTATACTCTACTAGAGTTTTGATATCTCAAGTCTAGGATATCTCTTGGACCCAAATAATAAATGCCATAATCTAGTTGACAGGGTCATCTATCCATACTCTGTTTCTATACCAATTCCTGCTAGGAGCACCCGCATCTTGTTGATCATTGTGGCTATGTCCAAATGATATGGTTTTTGATATAAAAAATTCAACTCTCCTTTGCAGGTTATCTACTTGATTATCCACTGGCTCTCTACTTTGGTTATTCTGTAGCAGGTGCATTCACAAGATTTGGTCATATAGCCGTATGGCAACAATTGGATCGTTTGGTCAAGGAATTTTTTATGGCACATAGGTGGCAGGGTCTAGTCTACAGACTAATAGTCACTAGGGTGTCTGTTTTTATTCAAAAAATAACTTTTTTATTGTCTTTGTGCTTTAATGCAGAGGTCAGAAGTGTTGTCAAGATGCTTGTACCAACTCAGTGTAATTATGTTGAGTTGTTAAGATAGTTCATTTATATAAAAAAATGTTAATGCAAAAAATTGGTCAGGGCGCAAGACACACGACCAGCCTGGAATATGTGCTAACTTCGATGCAAGTCCTGTCGGTTTTCCTCTAAAAAATGGTACTGTCGGTTTTGGATTGGTATGGGTGGCAGTCAATTTTACCTAAAATTGACAAGAAAAATATGATGAGTAATTTAAGGTGGAACATATCGGCTTTGATCCAGACAATTCTAATGTATGGCTAAAAAACCATTGAATAAAGCTATCGACTACAGAGTCGATATCCAGCACGTTCGTTGATAACATGCATAAAACAATCTAAATAAGCATCATGGACCAAACGAAGTATAAAATCATACTAAGCATTGAACCGATGAACATAAAATAAGATTATAAGAGAAATAGATGTAGATATATATGGTACAAAAATAGATATAGATATAGATATAGATATAGATATAGATATAGATATAGATATAAGGTAATGGTAAGTGTGGCTAATACAAATTCAAATTTAGGTGTTTAATTTGAATTATTTTCCATAAAAATAGCTAAGTGGTTATTTTAAATTATCTAAGGTTATAATGATAGAGGTGTGAAATTTTCTATAAATATAAGATTTAAGGCTATTATCGTTTATCTTGGGAATTTCTACAGTTTATCATTTTTTGTAGCGTATCGAGCAAGTATTAAATGGTGCCTCGGTTGGAGCCTCCGATTTTGAGATGCAACATTGGTGTTTACTTTATGTGTTTTCATAATGGCAGATGTCTGTATTTTTTATAAATTACAATAAGATCAAATGACTATTATCATCAACAATGATTAAAACTTATTAAGTTAAACGTTAGTGTTTCTCATTATTGTAAAAATTTATAGGATTATTTATTTTCTTGTGCATCTCATGAGAGTTAAGGCCGTGCCTTTGATGAAACCTCCATTTCATCATAATTGTAAGATTCAAACTTTAACTCCGGTTTTTGCTGATTGTCAATCTTTTCTTACATGCAGTGCAAGTCCATCTGTTACACATCTATATAGAATTAATTATTGTTATTTTATACTATTTTTCTAACCAGCTTCAGCACGTACGGTTGTTGGATTGGATTGGACATTAAACTCTGGTTTTGCTCATTGTCAATCTTTTCTTACATGCAAGGGCTAGTCGATCCGTTACATATCTATATATGGCTCAAGCATGTCTCTGCAGCTTGCCATCGCCAGCCGCAGTCGTCTTCGCTGCGTAATTGTTTGTGCAGCTGCAAAAATCGAAGTCTGTCGTGCACCTTGAACTTGTGACTCTGAAGTGGAATTCAACTTCACATTTCGGAAAGCAATCCTCTGTACCACCAAAATAAAACTCAATGGATCAGGTGTTAACGTGAACTGAACAAAAGAAGAATTTACGCTCACTATATATATGATAAAATAAATAATTAGAGTAGCTTCATTAGTGTTCATGTATGTGTATATATTCCTTTTGCCCAGGTGGGTGTCATGAGGGCGCAGGACGTGCCCATGAGAAGGACGCAAATGGCAGCTGCTACGGAGTGTGCACCGCCCTCATCTATTAGCACTCGCAAGTACTGCTAACTATTCTTGTGTTTCGGGATGCAAATGGCCTGATGCTTGTGCCCGTTTATATCGTTGAGACTAGGGGTCTCAGACAGGGGAAAAGTGCCCGAGGTGGAGGCTCGAATCACGAAGTTGACCGAATAAGTAATAGTAGGGTGGCACGTGGAAATTAGAGTTTTATTAATTCATTCACCAACCAACTATCAGTGTACAGTTACAAGCGCATCCTATTTATAGAGCTTAACCATCACTTTATGCAGCCTTCAACTATTACAGCATATTCTAAGAATATTCTGCTCCCTATTATTCTAGTTCAGGGTCTCTCTTGTCCTGCCTCTACTTGTTGCTTTTCCCTGTTTTGGGCCCGCGTGGCCGGCATCCCATCCCGGCCTTGCTCCTTTGATGGGCCAGCGGCTTGTCGGGCCTGACGCGCAGATCAGTCGAATCAGAGTCCCCTGTATCCTGCCTCCGCCCGATCAGTCGGAGGCCTGCCGCAGAGAGTGACGGCCGCCCTTTGCGCGCACACGTTATCCCTTGCACACATTTTAAAGAAGCCCAGGCACGGTTAGGTCTCCGCCTTCCAGGTCGGAGGTCATTGTGCTACGTCGGGTAAATCGATTCAGACGCCGGGTCCTGCAATTATGAATGAAAGCATGGTCATTTGTCCGAGACTCGGCCTGTCAGTTAAAGGTGGCCATGTTACAACATATATAGACTGAAATTTGCCCTGTTCGGGAGGCCGTATCGTATCGTGGATTATTTACTGCTGGCTGGTTTGGTGTGAGAGAAAAACACTGTTCCTGGCTGAAAATTTACGATCGTTTACGAGCAAACGAACAGGCTGATTGTTAGTGTAAATGCCACATTAATGATGGCATATCTCACGGAATGTCAAAAGAGCCTTTTATAAATTTTAAGGGAGTCCAGGGAGGCAGGGAAGTAAGATTCAGATTTTAACTCCGGCTTTTGCTAGTCTATCTTTTCTTACATGCAAGTGCAAAGTCGATCTGTTACATGCTAGCTTATATATGTCTCAAGCATGCCATCACCCGCAGTCGTCATCTCCGCGTCAAAGTGTGGGCGCAGCAGCAAAGTTCGGCCTGCATCATGCTCGTGCACCTGAGGCTGGTGAAATTGGAGTTGAATTTGTCTTTGCATTTTTGCTCGCACGGGGCGTCCTGGCAACTTGGCACGTGAAAGCAATCCTCTGTATCACCAAAATAAAACTCAATGGATCAGCAGACGTTCGTACATGCATGTTAACCAATTCAATTGAACAACGGAAGAATTTATTATCTTTGTATAAATAATAAAATAAATAATTAAAGTAGCTTCATTTGTGTGTGTAGTATGTATATACCCAGTGATGCACAGGTGGGTGTCATGAGGGTGCATGACGTGACCACGAGAATGCAGATGGCAGCAGCCATCGAGTGCAGCGCCCTCATCGTATCAACAAGACTCGCAACAAGAACTGTTCTTGTGTTTCGGGATGCAAATGGCGTGATGCTTGTTCTCGTTTATATAGAGGGAAATTATTCGTGTAAATGTCACAGTAATTAATGCTGGCATATCTCACACCAAGGTTATGATATCCTTGCTCCTACTATACACCAAAATATTAAATGTGTGGCCATCTAACTCGCCAGCGAGATATCATTAAGTTTATAGGAAATAAACAGGGAAAAGATATTAGCAAACTGGGGGCATAATCGGCCAGGGCCATTTTCAGCAGGCGATGCTGGAACAGCAAAAACCTCACTAGTGGTCCTGTTTGTCAAAACCGGGGCTTGGGCTGTATTAACCGTTCATTTTTTGATACAGATATTAATATAGACATGGATATATATATGGATATAGATATAGATACAGATACAGATATAGATATAGATAATGGCAAACCATGTGTATTATTTAAGATAATTGAAGTAGTTAATTTGAAATATTTTCCTTTATAGTATATGGATAGTTTGTATACAAATTAAGCTAGTTATTTTAATCATTTTCATAATGGTTGGAAAGCAAATTAGATTCTCTATCTATTTGGGTTACTTTTCATAATGATGGTGGTGTGAATTTTTTAAAATTTTAATAGATCCAATTATTGTTATTGGGGATGTTGATTAGAATCTTTTAAATTAAAGGCTAGATGTTTCTAATTATTGTAAAAAAGTTCAAATACTTTTTTCTAGGCCACATATAGGCCTAGTTAAACATGCCCCAAAAACAGAGCAACCAAACTGGTCGTCCCTGTCCTAGTCGGACGATTAATCACGATTACTCTTCGATTAATCGGACGATCAGCTTTCTGATCGAGCTGATCGCTTCGGTACCCTAAATCGGTCACTAAGGACCGATTAGGACGAGTAATCGTGATTAATCGGACGACTTGAAAACATTGATCTACGGTGATATCATCACAGTCCTATTGCAAGGCTAACTACTATTTGGTGCAGGAATTGTTTGACACAAAAACAAAACGCTATCATTTCCCTTGGTTACATACGTTGGTGGTCCACTCTAATATGCGATACTAACCCGAGAGGTAAACATGTCAATGTCCATCGCCTACACAAGACATAACGGTAAATGCTACTATTTGGTGCAGGAATTGTTTGACACAAAAACAAAACGATATCATTTCCCTTGGTTACA